GAAGCATAAACCGGCCATCACGCTTGCTTGGCCTTCAAAGTTATGTTTATAACGACAATGCTTCTTCATATGTAAAAATTGTTATTGTTGTAATAATTTAAAATACGGCAATCTGATATGTCATTTTTGCTGTTCTTGCTCGTGTGCTTGAGTACGGAGAAAGTGAGGTTAAGTTCCTATGCACAATTGTGTGTTGCTATTTAATCATGTTTTCTCTTTGCATTTTGTTAAAGTTATTTCAGAATTTGAAGCGAAGATGGAGGCGGAAAGTGAAGAGGGATTATATGAAGTGTAGCAAACGAGAAAGTATCTTTGCGAAACTGAGTTCTCTTAAACCAGATAGAGATGTTAGTCTTACCAGCAGTGATGATGATATGAGGAGTGAAAATTATGATGCTTTAGATCCAGAAAATGATAATGACAATGACAGACATGAAATTAAAAATAATAAATCAAGAAATAAACCTATAGATTTTAAGTTCGGTAACAGAATTTTAGAAGAAAACGATAGAGTTGATAGTGGCAGCGAAAGTGTTATAGACTATAGACTGGAAGAGGAAGAAAAAGAAGAAGAATTCAGTGATGATAGTGAAAGTGATAATGAAAATGCAAATCTGGTATTCAATTTTCAGAATGATGTTGAAAAGGAACAATATATTATTGAAAGCTTGCGTCTTTGGGCCTTGGAAGATGGAGTGATGTCAATGACAAAGCTTGATCGTCTTTTAGCTCGACTTAGGCCAGTATTCCCTAATTTACCAGTTAGTTATAAGACACTGTTAGATACCCTCCAAAATATTGAAGTTGTAGCTTTAAATTCTAGAGGTGAAATGTGGTATAAAAGTATAAGAGAGAATTTAAATAGAATGGAGTTAGAGATATATTTGCAATTGAAAGGTAAAATAGTGATGGATGTTAACATAGATGGTTTACCTATCTCTAAAAGTTCCAAAATTAAATTTTGGCCAATTTTAGGTCATCTTGCAGGTACTAAATCTGAGCCATTTATCATCGCTATTTATTTAGGAACACAGGATCCACAAAATGTTGATGAGTTTCTAGGTCAGTTTGTTAATGAAGTTCATGATCTTCAGATCCATGGTTATTCTTTTAAAAACAATAATTATTCCTTTAAAGTTGCCAACTACATTCTAGATGCTCCTGCTCGAGCATTCGTGAAATGTTGTATTAATCATGGAGGATATTGTGCATGCGATAAATGTATTGTAAATGGTGAGTGGCACGATGACCGCATGACATACTGTAATCTTGATGAACCTCTGCGTACAGAAGAGTCATTTCTCATGCAAGAACAACAGCGGCATCATAATGGTCATTCTCCTCTTGAGAGATTAGGTACTAAAATGGTGGGTCAGTTCCGACTTGATGTGATGCACTTAGTCTATGAGGGTGTCTTCAAGCGATTGGTTACTATGTGGAAGGAATGGAATGGTGCGTGGAAACTTGATAGAAGAGCAATAAATAGTATTTGTGACTTGCTTGAATTTATTAAGGATAGTACCCCATCGGATTTTAATAGAAAACCACGATCTTTGAGAGATCTAAAATTTTACAAGGCAACAGAATTTCGAAGATTGTTGTTGTATGATGGAATCTTAGTATTCAGAGACTTTACTGATGTCAACGTCTACAAGCACTTTTTATTATTGCACTGTGGTATGGTTATACTGTCTAATCAAATTCTTTTAAACTCAATGCATGTATTTGCAGGACAAGCTTTAAGAACTTTCATTGAACATTCCATCGAAATTTATGGTAAAAAGTTTGTGGTATATAATGTTCACATTCTGCATCATCTTGAGGAAGAATGCATTCAGCATGGTGTGGTTGAAAATTTTAGTGCATTCAAGTACGAGAACAGACTAAAATCACTGAAAAGTTCTTTAAAATCTGTGTACAGGCCTCTTCATCAAGCAGCTTTTCGAGACTTAGAAAAGATAAAACAGTACAAGATACAAATCGAAAACTGTGACAATGTAGTGCTTTTGTCAAGAAGACATATAATTCCTGAAGAAATCATTGAGGGCATTCAGTTCAGACAGTTATGTATAAATAACGTTACTTTCCAGCTTAATGGAAAGGACAACTGTTTTAAAGCAAGAAATGGTGACATAGTTCTTTTGAGTAACATTGTGAGAAGAAGGGAAAATGTGATTTTGGTTGGTTGCCGTTTCTCAGTTGTTTCTGATTTCTATGATTATCCAATTAGGTCTTCACTTCTTGGCATTTTTCATGTGTCACAGCTTGATCAAGAAAAAAGAACTTACAACATTACAGATGTTGAAGCAAAGTGTTGGCTATTGCCAGATGATAACAAGTGGTTGTGCACATCTTTGCTGCACACTTTGTCATTGTTTCAATAAGCCTTTTTTTCTACAGAAACTCTTGCTTGATTTTCTCATTTTAAGATCATGGAAAATGCTTTTTAATAACAAATATAAAACTTATATAAAACTATATATTTTTCAGTTTATTGTAATAAAGTTTCTCCAAGATGACAGTGGAGATGTCATTTATGAAGCAGGCCTCACAAAATGGCTTATATCTTTGGATGAAAATATGATTGGTAATATACACTGGCCGCCAACCCATTTGCTTGTCACAAAATGTGTACAGAAAGAAGTGGAAGCAGACTCATTATGGCCTCAGTTTAAAATTGAAGTTAAGCGTTACTATGGTAAGTTTTCATTTCAGATTTCTGTCTTTTCCTTTCTTCCTTTTCTTTTTTTTTTAATCCTTTTTTTTGTCTTTTTTTTCTTTTTCTGTTTTTTTTTTATCTTTCTTTCTTTTTTTTATTAAGATTCATCTCTGAAAATTTAGACTCTTTTATTTGGACAGAAGAGAAACTGTGATGAAACATTAACTGTTATTATTGCCTACATTTACTTGAAAAATAATTTGTAAAAAATCAAAATATGCCAGATTTAAGAAACTAATGGTCCACTTACTCTGTTGGTAACCATCATTCTGCTTATTTTGTTATTTATAGATACTTACATTAATGCCAGGAATGGTGCTAAGGGTTTCACTGAATTCTCCTCTGCTTACGAAACCGAACAGGAAATGGGACGTGGAAAACGAAGAAAGAAGCCATTGTTGCCGTTTGATGGCGAATCTTCAGTCTCCGATGATGAAGATGCCACAGCAAAGAAAAAAATTAAAAATGTACCAGCACCTCCACTACTGAAGCTAAAAGAAATTGAAACCTCTTTATCAAGTCAATCCTCTATGAACAAAAACAAGGAAATTGTTTGTGTGAAGTCTTATACAGTAAAGAATAAAACAGATAAAGAAAACCAATCTGTGTTTGAGCAAGTGAGGAGAAAACAAGATCATAAAAATGAGCTTCTTAAGAAATTAAAACCAAGAAGCAATACATCTGGTTCCTGTAGTACTCGAATGACATCTGCTTCTTTCAAAGTCACTGAAGTGCCATCCTCGGATCTCGGTCTCCTATCTGATTCTACTCCAAGCCACTCATCAACTTCCAATAAAAGCTTTTCTATGATTGAAGAGACTGATGCTCTTGATTTTTATGTGGATTCTCCTGACACTTCAAAAACGTCGTATAATTTTTTGAGTGAAGAAAAATATAGTCCAATACACTGTTGTTCTAAAGTGTCGTTTCTTAACTCTCCGTTAAGTAGGAATTCCAGCAATAATGCAGGTAAAATTTATTTTTATCACCAGTGGTATTTAAATGTAAATTATTTTATGATGAGTTATTGTTTTTATTCATGTAGATAGTGGAGCACTATTTTCATTTGAAAAATATGAGGTCAAGATAGAGCGCAAAGTTGATATTCTCAGTAGTAAAATGGATGTACTCAGCATGAATCTATCCAGGCTCATGCGCTTTCTCATGCCTCAAGAAAAGAAGCTTAAGCGGCCTGAGAATTTGCCACCTGTGCCAGTTTCAACACCAGAGCAACTCAAGGCACTTGAAAGCTTTTTAGAAAATGACTTGAATTTAGCTGCAATGGTGCTTTGTTTATAGTTCTCTGCACTTTCTCTTATTCTAATCTTTTTATATTAAATCTAATTTTAGTATCAATAATTTATTTTACAGTGTGATAGTTTCAGCATATATGTTTATGCCAAAGAAAGTGAACAAAAATCAACTTACCGCTTTCTTCCTAAACTTCTTACAAATTCATTAGCCACCCAGTTCAATTTCAAGGGTGAACGGGGTAAGAAGTCATTTGAAGATTTGAAACTGTGGGAAGTTGTGCAAGGTATGTGTTGATGATCTCTGTTTTGTGACAATATATTTTGCATGTCATTCTGACTAGTTTCTTTTCTTCTGCAGGAAGTGTTCTTATCAAGAAGCCAGAAGCAGATATAGATGAGATCAAAACAGCTGTGCAGAAATGGCTTAAGAACGCGCCTTGGCGTAGTCAGGATGATGGAAAGAAGAGTAAGAGGGAGGAGGATGAAAAGAAGAAGAAAGAGAAGGAGAGCTCAAAATGATATGCATATTTGAAATAAATAAGTTTTCTGTAATTTTATTGAGACTGTGCAGCATTTAAATTAATGTTAATAATTTGGAGACTGAAGCAGAACTGTTGAGTCTTATTAAGTATTTGTCAAGTCTGATATTTTTTTTGTTATTTTTGACTTATTTGTAAACTTAAGTGCAATTTTTTTTTTATGATGTTAATTAATACTATTAAGACAAGAATAATTATTATAATTATATTTAAAGTGATAATTAATTTTTTGTGATTTTACTGAAACTGTTCAGTACTTAAACTTCTTCCAGTCTGTACTTATTGTACCTTTGGTACGTGTGATGAAAATTTTTCACTGGATGTTTATAATCAATAAATCTAGAATGATTATTTTGTTTTATGGAAGTTACGGTATTTATATATAAATCAATCTTTATTATAATCATTTGTGTTGGTAAGAAGTTTATGATTTTATAAAGGCAGATTATACAGATATACTTTAAATAAATCGCACCACTTTTTAAAAATGTTATGGAACTAAATCTTTATATTTTTTTACGCTATAGAAATAATTAATTCGATGGAAAACGATCAATCGAATCAACATCGATTCAACATTGTTTCGGCCGATTAGCATAGTTTCGACGTCGAACTGACATCACGACAACTAGCATTGATAGAAATGCGGGTTATATAGTGTGGGATTACCGGAAAGGGGGTTTTGGTTTTTCAAGCTCACAAATAATCATGATTGATGGCATATATTTTGGTTGATTCGGGTGAATGAATAACGGAAGTCAAATCGACGTCGAAATAATTATGGTCGAAATCGAGGACCACTTTTTCGTCGAATCGACGAACTTTTCGACTTCATTTTCGACTAGAGAATTCGACGTCGATTTGACGGCTGATCGACAAAACATTTCTGACTGGGGTCGCGAACGTCGACGAAAACGTTGAAACAACGCGAGAATATTCTTTCCGCGAATTAGATAACAGCTTAATATCCGGAGTAAGCGAGGATTCGCGCCAGGATAGGCCTACAACCACGAGGCCATTGAGTAGAATATCGGAGCGCACTGAGACTGCATCGACTACGTACGATAGTAGTATCTTTGATCCGCGAGAATTAAACAACGAAATAACAATGGCACAACCGCCAAACGACGTAACCGCACGAATTGAGGACGGAGAGCCTCCGCGGCGACAGATCAACATAGACGGGAATGTGACCAATGCCACAAACGACATACAAGAGAATTTAATAGAGACACAGATCGGAGTGCTAACAGACGCGATAAACGAGATGCGAGCGCAAACGCAAGTGCTGCAAGAACATTTACATGAACAGATACTTAACTTGCACGAACGATTTAACGCACAAATATACGGTATACAAGGGTAGCAACAAGGATCAACTAGTAACCGTGAACTAAATAACGCGTCACGTGGAACGATGAACGCACCAGAAGTAAACGTATCGTACGGCCAAGGCCCCGCTGACGTAAGGAATAGGCCAACCCATTCTAACAATTATATGCAGTTGAAAGAAGCCCGAAGCCTAATACCGGAAATCGACGGGACAGCACCAAATAGAATACAGGAGTTTTTAAGTGCTAGTACCTACGCGATGGAAAGCATAGATCCAACAGAGGAGCTACAATTACTCAAGGCTATACTGTGCACAAAACTGAAAGGGAAAATCTTACTTGATTTCCAAACGAGAAATATTCAATCGTTCGCCCAATTAAAACAGGAAATAGAAAGGGGTTATACTACACATAAGAGTGTTACGCACCTACAATTAGAGTTTAATACCCTGAAGCAAAAACAAGGTGAAAGTGCTCAAAACTTTGGTTCGAGAGTGGACCAACTCGCTATGAAACTCTATGAATCGATGATAGAGGGAAAAACTCACACGATTATGGAGAAAAAACAACTATTAAAAACACCGTACAAAACTTGGCGTTACAAAATTTCCAGATAGGATTACAAGATAATATTAAAACTATTGTACGCGCAAGGAACTACGGAACGCTACAAGAGGCTATTGCTGTGGCAACGGCTGAGGAAAAATTACAAGGACCAAGCCCAGCGTTAAATAAATATAATGCCTATTATAAAACCACGAATAAAGCGCGGGAAAAGACACCGCAATGTGCAAAGTGCGGAAAATGGGGGCATATCGGGCGTGAGTGCCGTACAAGTCGTTTTGCGAACCGATTCAGTTTACCGAAGGCTGACGGACACAGAGTAAACGCATTAGAAAAATATTGCAAATATTGCAAAAAGCCCGGACACTTTCAGGAGGAGTGCTGGCAATTAAACGGTCGACCCGAAAAAGGGAATGCGAAAGAGAACGCGCAACATAAAACAGTTAAAGAGAATAAGGCAAAGAAGGCCGACAACGACGAAGAAGATGACGCAGCAAACAAGAAAAAGACACGGCCCATAAAAGCGTTGTTAGCACATACAGATAAGACAGCTAAAATACACGCAAATCTAGATTTAATCGCGTTACCAATAGTGGAAGCGAAAAACGAACACGCAACAATGCTTGTGGATACTGGAGCTACACTAACTATGATTAAAATAAAAAGTCTATTAGAAGAAACACCCGTATATGACGAAACGGTAACATTAGTCGGTGCCACGGGACAGAAAGCTGACACGTTAGGCGTGATAAAAGCGCATATAACATTAAAAGATAAAACAATAATGCATAAAATGCATGTAGTAAAAGACGACTTTCCGATAGGATACGAAGGTATTCTAGGAGCGGACTTTTTAAACAAATACGTCACGAAATGGGACTATCCCATAAAGAAATTGACGGTCGAGGGAACGACATTCAAACTATTTCAGCATAACAACATAAAACTAGCTCCCAGAAGCGAGACAATAATTAAAGCATCAACAAGCAAAAATGCGCTGGGAATAGTGCATGCAATGGAAACACAACCAGGGGTGATCATCGATAGTTGCATAGTGGAAGCAGAGGACTACTGTTGCCCGGTTAGTGTCATTAATACCACGGACAAGGAAATAGACTTTCAAACGCCCTTCGTGAACATTGAAAAATTCGAGGAACTAAAAGAGGAAGTACACACGATTGGAACTGTTAAGGAAGAAACAACTCCAAGGTCACGTGAAAACAAGGTCAAAAATCTTTTAAGAATAGACCATTTGAATAAAGAAGAGAAAAAAGCAATACTGGAAATAAGCGAAAATTATTGCGATATTTTTCATCTCGACGGAGAACCACTGTCTAGCACACAGGCGATGAAACATGAGATCGCCACGCGAGCCGGAGCAGCGCCCGCGAATACGAGACCTTATCGGCTGCCGGAGAAACATAAGGAGAGGTGAGCCGACAAGTGACAGAAATGCTAAATAACAAAATAATAAGGCCAAGTTCGAGTCAGTGGAACGCGCCACTTTTAGTAGTGCCTAAAAAACCAGATGCATCAGGAAAAGCCAAATTACGAGTTGTCGTAGATTTTAGAAAACTGAACGACTTAACGATCGGAGATTCTTTCCCGTTACCAAACATTACTGACATATTAGATCAGTTGGGAAATTCAAAATATTTTACAACGTTAGATTTGGCATCTGGTTACCATCAAATTCCAATGGCGGAAAAAGACAGAGAAAAAACAGCATTTTCGACGCCGTATGGACACTACGAGTTCAACAGAATGCCGTTCGGACTTAAAAATGCTCCAGCGACATTTCAAAGATTAATGAATACAATATTGGCCGGAATTCAAGGTTTACGATGTCTAGTATATTTAGACGATATTGTCATTTACGGCACTAGTCTAGAAGACCATAATCGCCGCTTAACAGAAGTATTCGACAGAATTCGCGAAAATAATTTAAAATTACAGCCGGACAAATGTGAATTTCTTCGAAAAGAAGTAGTTTACTTAGGCCACATAATAACAGAGGGAGGCAATAAACCTGACCCTGGAAAGATCCAAGCGGTAAAAAATTTTCCAACACCGAAAAAAGTAAAAGATATACAGTCATTCATTGGATTAGCCGGATATTATCGAAAATTCATAGAAAATTTTTCTAAAATAGTGAAACCTCTCACTAAATTTACAAAAAAAGGAGTAAAATTTGAATGGACGCAAGAGCAAGAAAACGCGTTCGAAAATCTAAAAAGCAAGTTAATTACTGCACCGGTATTAAATTACCCTGATTTTAATAATGAATTTATAGTCACGACAGACGCATCTGATTTTGCGATAGGCGCAATATTATCTCAAGGAAAAATAGGACAAGATCGTCCAATAGCGTACGCTAGCCGACTTCTCTCAAAGGCGGAACAAAATTATAATACGACCGAAAAAGAATTACTGGCGATAGTATGGGCGGTCAAACATTTTCGTCCGTATATATATGGTACAAAGTTCAAGATCATAACCGACCATAAACCACTAGTATGGTTATTTAATGTAACCGACCCAGGCTCACGATTAATTCGATGGAGATTAAAATTGGAAGAATACGACTATGAAATCGTACATAAGGCCGGGAAGAGCAATACAAATGCTGACGCGTTAAGTCGCAACGTCGCGCACGGCATACACACGGTCGACGGAGAGAGAGAAAGCGAAGAAGAGGAAGAAGAAGAAGAGGAAGATAAGAGGAAGAAAGAAAGATATATACAGAGGGAGAGAAACAACAAATATTATATGAATATCACGATGCACCGATCGGCGGGCATCAAGGAATCCAGCGCACTATCAAGCGCATACGATTAACGCATAATTGGAAAGGATTGACGAAAGACGTCGAGAAATACATCGCAAAATGCGAATATTGTCAAAAAAATAAATTAAAGATAAGGAATAAAGCACCCATGATTCTCACAGATACACCGGATAAACCGTTTGAAAAATGCGCATTGGATATAGTAGGGCCAATGACAGAAACGGAAAGCGGAAACAAGTACATATTAACCTTCCAAGATCATCTAACGAAATTCAGTAAGGCAATGCCTATAAATAATCAAGAGGCAAGCACGATAGCGCGAGAATTCGTGACAAAAATCGTTTTAGAATA